TATTATTTTTGCAGAAATGCAGAAGACGTAGAAATGCAGTTCTGAATGGCTCATTTGTGTACCAAATTACAGATGTGCAACAAGTGCATCCGGTTCTCTGTTGAGTCCCTTCTGGGAAATTCTCACAGCCGAGCTCTTCCATTATCACCTACAGAGGGCAGTTTGCCCTCTGTCAGTCTGATGATGCTTCGGTATTAATGGGAGTATAAATAAATGTGAATAGTGAAGGCATACTAATTATCTGTATACGTATTGCAGGTAAAAGAGCTAGTCACTTTAGCCCGATGTCTTCTAAAATGAAATAATAAAAAAATTGTGATACATCTGTTTTGAGAAAAATGAATAGTTTCGATGTTATAAACCAGTCATATCTGATATAGAGCAAAGATAATTAGAAGGTGAACATAATTTAAAAACTGAAATGCCTCTTACTATTTCTCTATTATCTCAAATTGGAGATAAATAGGCCAGTAGACATAAGTGCTGAAATTATTTGATTAACTCAATGTGCATTGACTATTTACAGAATTGCAATTCCTTGTGTAACTTGTAGCTCACAGAAAGCAAACTAAGAGTGTTTTATTCAGAAACAGAAATCCATAGATATGAAGGGAGCTTTGTTTTTGGTATAAAGATGAGTTTCAATTATAGGAATGGTATGAGGCTGACAGTCTTCTAGATATTTAGGAAAAGTGGAATTTTGATTTCCATTCTGCTGAGTAAGAGGTACAGTGGTAGAAAGCAAGTTGAAACATTAGGTACATTTGGGAGACTTTGCCTGAGGCCAGTCATGTTGATTTGGAGGAGGCAATATTCCCTAGTGATGATATCTTTCTGAAAAATTTTACAGGACAAGCATTTCCTTCTACATTCTTTTGCCCAGTTAAGAGCACTAAAATGTCAATTTAAGTTTAGGAAGCTAATTTGGAAGTTATTTGTAGGCAAGTTTCTGTAAATGTATGAACAGCAGAGCCATATATGTATAGATGAGAACAAGATGATGTCAACAAAGCTTTTTACACTACACTTGTGGAAAAACCTCCCACATGGGTATACCCTCCAGCTTCTGATTCTCCCCTGTAGCCTGTTTTCTTTTTCATCTCTTAAAGCTTTTTTTTCCTTCTTCCTGTGATGGTGCTGCCTTTACTGCTGGAATGGGTGATGTCATTGTGTTTACACTAGTTTGATGGCATAGCTCGCTGAACCAGGAATGTTGAGAATGGGGCCTGTGTTGAATCATGCACTCTGCTGTCAACTCTGTTGTAAGCAAAGAATTGGCGGCACTTGTGCTGAGTGCAGGCCTTTTGGACTTCTGGCAAAATGTGTTGAGGTTGCACTTTTTTTCCTTTACAGCCGTCGCACTTGGCACTTTTCAGTGTGATCTTTCTTCGGGAAGCTGTCAAAAAGCTGAGAAATCAGCAGTCTAGGGAGTTAGACCAAGTTGTCTCTGTCTGGATGCCAATTCTCTCTGGCTGTCCTTCTTGCAAGATATTCACAAGTGCAGCTTCTGTGCAGGGCTGTAGAAAGACCTTGTATATATCCTAATTCAGGCATAATACAGAATGTGAAAATTTTCATAGGTTTTTTCCACTTAGTCATCACTTTCTTTAGTGTTTTTTTATGAATGATGAATGGAAGTGAATCTTTCTAGAAATGAATCTGTATGATATCTGATATTAATAACATGTTACAACAATAATAACATTAGTGTAAGTAATTAATCTTTAGAAGTTTAGGATAAATGAACTTTTTTTGTGTTCGACTCTCAGCACTACTGGACAGCAATCTTTGCTGATCACTTTTAACAATGAAGGTCAGCTCCAGTCAATTTTCAGTCCTTTTGTGCAATCTTCTCACTTCCCAAATGTTAGCTGGTTTCATAAGCATTAATCCTGATATATACTAGAAGTGCAGTACTTGCCTTATGAAGAGCCTCACTAAATTATCCAGGCAGTTAATCTTGTATATTCTTCTACTGGGAAATATTTCCTTGGGATTTTTTATTGATTGTCACTAATGCTAGCATAGTGATTCTTAAGGTTCTGACCTGTATTGGATTTACTGTGTGATACCAAATCTGCTTTTGGTCATGCAGTTTTGTTGTATTGCCTGTGTTCCTATTCCTCTCACATGAACGTTAGCAATGGTACTTAATATGGACATGTCATAGATAAAACTTACATAGGAAAGAAGTGTAGGTTAGACTTGACTTTTCAATGAATAGGTGACTTCCCTTGCTTTGTTCACAGTTTTGTTCCTGGTTCCTATGGCTGCATGTGGTTTTTAGATAAAGCTGGAAAATTTAAAAAAACATATAAATACATTGGTGAATATATATTGGTGTGTCTGCCCCAGTGTTTACTTAACCAATATTTCAAGCAGTGTTACAGTAATGGAAACATTCTTCCTCTTGTATTTTTTTTCTAATCAGAAAACATGGCTTCTGGTTACTGACTATGTTACCCACATACTTGAGGTACTGATTCCCAAATTGTGGGTCTAAAACTTTTTGATAGTAAAGCACAGTCAACTGTACAGTACACTATGTGTTTTACTGTACAATTAATAACTGCAAAAGCAAAAATAAGGCAGTAGGTTCCATTAAGACAGTTGTGGCCCACAATATTAAGTATGTTAGAGGTTTAATCAGTGACTGTAGCCATGTCTTTTGGGCACAAGAATTTGGCTTGTCAGCAATTTTCAGTGCTCTAGGAGTATCTGAGTTGTTTGGCTGGCTTATTAGTGATCTTGGAAAGCGCTGAAGCTATCCTTTCTGGGGTGCTGCTGGGGGACCGTTTTTTTGCTTTTGCTGACACTAGCTTGTCTTGATTCTTTGCTATAAATGTGAACTGATATTTTATACATTCAGCAAACAAGAACCCGGTCGGTGTGGAAGAGGCATTTATTATGTAAATACTGATAATATGGTTGGGTGAGTAAAAGGTAAACCACATCCATGCAGTTTTGGAGACATTGCTATGGAAGTGGTTTATCATTGCCTTTTTCTGAGATGTCTTTTGGCTTGATGTCTACCCCCAGAGCCCTGAAATATTCTGATGGTCTCCCACATGAGCCCAGACCAGGGGTAGGCAACCTTGGCTCTTTTATGACCCGTGGATTTCAGTTCCCAGAATTCCTGAGCCAGCATGGCTCAGCTTAGAAACCTCTCCCTTTCCCCTCAGCGTGGCTGGCTCAGGAATTCTGGGAGTTGAAGTCCACAAGTCATAAAAGAGCCAAGGTTGCCTATCCCTGGCCCAGGTGCTGCCATGTGTTGAGGCACATGAGTGAGAGATAAATGTAAAAATCCTTATCCATGGTGGCTTCTCTATGCTTGAGATACCTCTGGCCATTTTTTTCTTCCTTAAGAAGCATTTTTTGAGGGGTGTGAGGAGCAATTATTGAGGCTTCTGAGCTGTTCCAGAGGAGTAATTAAAAGTGGTAAAGATAATTTACAACATCAGCTACAATGGTTTGAGGGCGCTATCAGGCCTTCTTTAAGAGAAAGTAACTATTCTTGCACATAGTTGCAGGTTGAATATTGAGAACAAAATGGAAGTATTTGATTTCCTCTGTTTAGGAAACTGGTGGGTAGTTTTGGTTTACTCAAGACAGCAACAGTGAGTGACAAAATTTCTCTATATGTGATTGTGCGTGTCTAAGATCTCTTGTGAATTCTGTTTTGAAACTGTAAGTAGTGGTTTCAGTGATGTTTCATAAATGAAAGTTAATACAGATTAGTTTGTATTCAAGTAATGTAAAACTGCTAGCAAACGTCTGTGTTATCTCAGAGAAGCTTTATTTCTTGTGAATATTGATATTAAAATTTCAATTCCCTCCATCCAAAACCTATATGATACATGCAAAAAGCATGAATGAGGAAGCATCTTCTCATAATTTTAAAACTTCTTTAAATTTTCCACTTTTGGAAGAATTTCTGAAATAATAAACAATAAGTTATCAGCAGCACATTTCCTAAATAATGAATTATCTGGGAATTTAGAACAATGCAACATGAATTCAATAGGGGATTTCATAAGAATGGGAATGATTTTTATCTGCATTCTAAAAAAATGCTCTATCTCAGGGGTTTTTTTTTTAGTCCTAATGTCTTGTTGGTAAAATGGCAATGTGAGAGGAGGCAACTGGACAGGGAAATTAATGGAAATATTTAATTTCTGTATTGCTGGTCAGAATCCCACCCAGATGAATTTTGTTTTTCCCTACTTTGTGTGCCTACCACTGTTCTTCTGTTAACATGCATGGGAAAAGCTAGTCAAAAGAAGACAGGTTATCAGAACCACAATAATAGATTGTTCAGTAATGACTATTCAATTATAGTATAACCCGGAGACGGGTAATTCTCTAATGTTCTGCATGTTTCCCATTATTCCCTTGTCTATCCTTTCCTTCCATCCTCTAGTCTTGCTGTTCTGTTTTCAAGATAAAGAAATGCTTCAGGCAGAGTGGATTAATTAATTAATAGACTTTTTTTAAAATAGAGAGTATTCTTGAATACTTCTTCCTTCCAACTATGGGAATATACTGTTGCTTTGAACCTTATAAAGAGAAGTCTACAAGGGTAATTCCTTGGCAACTCTCTTAGACTGCAGTTTTCTTGCTAGGCTGTACTCTAGTATAAGGCGTGCACTGTGAGCAAGGCTGCTAATATGCTGAGTCAGCATGACTGGCTCAGCACAGCCATGCAGGATCCTGGCTGCCAGGCTATTTTTAAATGTGGTTTCATCCTACTCCAGCTCCTCCCAAACTTCCAAATCTTCCTTTTCGTGAGCATTTGCTCTTAAGATTTATAAAAAGCTGTGGGGTTGGCAGAGACAAGGCAGAATTTGTTAAGAGCTCATGTAAATCCCACAGTTGGTTCATGCTGTACAGAGAACACCTGTATTTGGTGCTTACTTTCCTGCCTAGTCTGAGTATATATATAGCTGTTTTTGAATGACGTAGAACTTGACTTTGATAACATCTATCCATTTTCTATCCTACAGAATCTGATTGTGAAGGCTTGCGTGTTATGACGACCCCCAACAAAGGAAACAAAGCCTTGAAGGTAATAAGGCAAGACTTGGGGTTAGCTGGGCATGCCTGCAACCAGAATTCCACTAAAACGTGTTTCTATTGTCTCTGCAGGTGAAGCGGGAGCCAGGGGAGAATGGGACCAGCTTGACAGATGAAGAGCTGGTGACCATGTCTGTACGGGAGTTGAACCAGCATCTGCGAGGCTTATCTAAGGAAGAGATAATCCAACTCAAGCAACGCCGGCGGACCCTGAAGAACAGAGGCTATGCTGCCAGCTGCCGGGTCAAGAGAGTAACACAGAAGGAAGAGTTGGAGAAACAGAAGGCAGAACTTCAGCAGGAAGTGGAGAAGCTGGCTTCAGAGAATGCCAGCATGAAAATGGAACTTGATGCCCTGCGTTCCAAGTACGAGGCACTGCAGAACTTCGCCCGGACCGTTGCCCGGAGCCCTGTCACCCCTGCCCGGGGCCCACTTGCTTCCAGCATGGGGCCCCTTGTTCCTGGCAAAGTTGCCACCACCAGCGTTATCACAATAGTTAAATCCAAAACGGACGCCCGGTCTTAGTGAAACGAGCACTGCCTGGGCTTGTCTGTGCAGGGCAGTTAGGCACAAAGCTCATCCGGAATCCCCAAAGCACAACCCTCTCCCAGATGGCCTAGCCCACACAGGCACACACTGGCCTGCTTGTCACTGCAGTCGCTTTGTTTTTAGCTTGTTCTGGTTGGTGTGACTGATGGTAACGCAACCTTTCCATTGTGAACCGAACCGTCCATCTAGGGTGTTCTGAAAACGGAAGCTGAAGGACCTCAGTACTCTTGCCAAAGAGATTTTCAGCAGCATGGAGTTCATTCTTGAGGAGGAATAACCCAAAGGGGAGGGGAAGAGGTCATAGAGAGTTAGAAGACCTACTGTCCGTGATGACTTCAATGCCGTTCTTCCAGGGTTGAGTCAGCTGTCCAGTCTGCTGCTTGTAAATGGCTTGGCATCGGGGGGATAGTTTGTGTAACCATTTTCATATTTCCATCTAGTTGCACCTTTTAGGTTTGAAGATGGGATTCCTTAGGACTTTTCCTGAAGGAGGAGAGGAAAGTGGGGAAACAGCTATTTCCTGGTGTCTGTGCTGCAGAGGAAGGAAAGTAGCCAGGAATGCGCACTGTTGTATCTACCTACCAGACAAAGTGGGTTACATTGCAGTGACCACAGGCCAGTTTTGTGCCTAATGTGTTGCACTGAACAAGACCAAAATCACTAGTTGTTTTCTGTGTTTGGAGAGTATCCAGTGTCTCTAGTGTGATGGTTTACACAACTAGTTTATGTAGTTTAAATAGCCCTTTATTTAAAAAGAGAAGCATTCGTTTTAAAGAGTTATTAAATGATCTTAAGTTTCAAATCTACAATTCGGTGAAGCACTTCTATTTAAAAGTCTCCTTTTAGCCTGAGAAGGTGAGAATATTTGATTGTCATATTCTTGGAGACAGAAATGCAAATTTTAGAAGTTTCTCGTTAAGTCTTGTGGCTCTTGAGGTTGGTTTTTATAAAGAGTTATTAGACTTTTATTTATAAATAACATAGGAAAAAACAAAACAAAAAAAGAGGCTAGTCCTGTTTGATATCTTTTTGCAATTGTACCAAAAGTGACTTATTCTTGAATTCCCCATCTGCTTCTTTTGTATTCCTGTTGTATTTAGTTGTCTGTGCTCTGAGGTCTTTTGTGGCGCTGTGATGTGATGGTGCCAGTGGCCACTTTGCTATGTGGGTGTCCTGTGAGCATTCGTTCGGCTTTCCCAGGGCTGAGTGCAGGTTTTCTGGGGCATTTGCCAGTAGACCTTCTCCAAGGTTCTGTCTCATGAGAAAATTACCTGAATCTGAAGCCTAAGAAGAATGAGTTCTTTTAAGATGTCAACAAAACTGCTTAATGATAGCTGGCAGACAGTGTTGCATTATATCATGTCACTTGTATTATAATTGCCAAAATTCGGGTTTTTTTGGCTGGGTGTTCCTGAAGGTTGAATCCAGAGTTGCAATGGTAATGGGATAGAAGGGATCACTCCTGTTAATGTAGGAATATGAAACAATTTACAGCATATCGTACAAAGGGTCCACAAAATATATTTTCTAGGGTTGGATTCTATGTAGCATTTGTGAAGATCCACTATTGCGGCAGGGTTCCTTTGCTGGTAATACTACAGAGACTATTTTTAATCTCTCGCCTGTCTCCTCCTATGCTTTAGCATGTTGAGCATTACATAGGGATCTAAGCCAGAAACTCAATAAGGTCTAAAGAGCATGTGATAGTCAACGTGATCAGGGAAGTCCAAATTGTTTTATCTTCTGGATACATAGTCGTATGGGAAGCCTAGTCTAGTTTCTCTGACAGAGCCAGTCATTACAAAAAAAGAAAATTGATTTACCTTCTCTGTTGCTTGCCTTGCAATTAGCCTACTACAGGGAAGGAGTGATGGGTGCATTACCAAGAGGAAAATGTGAGTTTGTACTTTTGTATCTAGGTGGGCACTTGATCTTTTGCCCAGAAAATTGGCCATCAGAATGAGCACATGACTGACAGCTGGTAAGCATTGAGTACTGGCATATTCAAAACACTTGAGATCACCATATTTGGCCATTTTCTAGTTAACATATACTAGAACCTGTTTTAATGACACAGCTAGTGAATTCTGGAAATTTCCACAGCTGAGACTGGGCTCAAAAACCTCTTGCGTCTTTTCAAAAACTTCCAGCTACATTCTAGGCCTCTTAATTAAAAGAAAAAGCTTTAATAACTTTTAAAGCAGGGCTAATAAATTCAGATGAGTTCTAAGGCAAGTTTGTATCCAGAAACAACTATCCACAACAATCAGCTGAGAATCCATTCTCTGAAAACGATCTTCCTGATATCTATTAACTGGCAAGGTTTTGATCCCTAGAGCGGGGGTGTCAAACTGCTGGCCCATGGGCTGGACGCATCATCCAGAAGCCACGCCCATCCCATTGCCGGCAATGGCAAAACCGTCCCGATACGTTGCGCAACGTCACGTGACATCACGAGTTTGACATGTCTGGCCTAGAGTATGCTGAAGGGAAAAAAGTCTTTTAATGAGGACTAGCCTTCAAAATATCTTCCATCATATCTGCTGGAGCTCCCTTTTTTCTCACTGTAGGACCACTGTCCTCTGCAGATGATTCACCTGAAATGGAGGGAATGGCACTAGTTCTTTACTCTCAGCTGCCCTTTTGACACAGTGGATTGGAGGTCTTTTTAATTGTTGTTTTTTGTGCTAGTCTTGGCATATATGAATGACAGAATATGGCTGAGAGATGCACAGGCACTAAGAACAGCAAACTGCAGAGAAACAGAAAAATAAGTTGCTTTAATGTGACTATTCACTTGCACTGGGTCCAGATTCTACCCGAAATCACCATTGCCACATTAGTTGTTACTCTTTATTTTAGATTTAGAAGGAGAGGCTCACAGGTTGCTGCATACAGTAGCAGTTATTACTAAGCCTTGCCTTATTAAGGCGTTTAGGTTTCTGATCTTAAAAGCTATACCAGAGTGACGTAAATTGCTCTGATCTGTGTTGAGGTTAGCAAAATTTGATAATTCCCCTTGGGATATGTTTTATCACTGCTGATTTGAAAGACTTAGAAACCAATGCAGATCTATGCGGAATTACTAGAGCCAGAAATGTCCTATGTTTACTTGTACCATATCACTCTACCTCCTTGCATCTTTCTCTCCACCCTTAAGCTGTAGATATTTTTTCCCTTCTTTGCCTTCCACTTTCTAGTCCTTGCCAAAGAAATCCAAATTCTGTGAAAACCAAACAGTTGTAACCGAAATAAGCAATATTTATGCTTTGATGTCAAACATGCAAATAAAAATAATATGTAATTGGGATTTTCTGACCATCAAATTTATAAACAAGAGGTGGGTTCTGGATTGAACTTTTAGGTCTCCTGGTCATAGCTTCCTTTGAGAGTTCCATGAAAGGCATTTATGTCACCTGGATGGATGGTTGAGGAAACAACTCTTCTATCTGAGCTGCCTGCTGTTTTAACTCAAGAATTTGCCTCTCCATTGTTTGGCATGCTTCTCTGTGCCATATTTGCAGTTTGCCCCAAGGAAAGCAAGGCGAAGACATTGGTGATAGTTCCATACTGTTAAAATGAAGTTCTGTATTGGGCTGCATTTCTGAAATAGGAATTTGTTTTCAGCCAGATGAATAGTTTTGGATCTCTTCAATTCCATGACCATATCATCCTACACATTTCTTGATTGGCAGTCTTTACTCCTTAGAATTGGCTAAATAAATTTCTTTTGGTGCTTCCTCTTCCTGAATTGCTTGTTTTATGATTGAGACCTTGGATCCCATCAGAAGCCTCTGATAAAGTCTGTCCTCTAGGATTTTGCAAGGGTGGCTAGGTCGGTTTTTGTAGCAAAACTAATAGTGTCCTGGGCACTTTAAAGACTATTACATCATCTTTCATGGATTAGAAGTTACTTCATCAGATCCATGAGATGATATTAAATTGGCTCTGATATGTGTGTATAAATACAACTACTCAGACACATTTTGGATATAAAAAAGATTAATAATCGTATTAAAGCTTATACATGCACGCATACATTAATACTATAGTTTCCATTTTCTGCAAAGTTGGTTACAAACATTACAAGGGATCTATATTATCTGCATTAGTCTGTGGTCACTACAAATGTTAAAATATATTTGAGCCGTAATATTGCAATCTGTATTTCTTGCAATTAGATTTTGTCTATTCTTCCTACAGTAACAGTTTCCTCCATAAACAACCTGTATACAGTATTAATTGGTTAATTTGGAATAATACTTCATCCATTGAAGTTGACTTGTCCACATAAATCTATGCCATAATATATTTGCTTGTCTTTAAGGTGCCATAAGACTCAATCTTTCCTCTAAAGACGCCTTTCATCCTTTTCAAGACTAGATAAGTGAAATGGTATCTTCATCTGAGTGCGTTGCAAGACATTCTTATAAGCAAATGAATATTTATTGAGCAAATCTTGCTCCAGAACTCAGTAGTACATCTTCCAACTGGAGGTGGGGGAGAAGACAAGTAACCCTTCATGCCTCCCAGCTTCCTTCACTCTCAGTCTGTCTTCTAGTGTTCGTTTTTTTTCTGTCCTAGATTCCCCTCTCAAGCCCTTGCCCCTCAATTCTTTTCTGGTACATGGCATCCAGAGTGTGATGGTTCTTGTTTTATAGGTGACTGTTTGGTTTTCCTGCTGTGAAGGGTGGTTTTGTTTTGTTGTTTTTAATGGGGCATTTTGCTTGATGCAACAGGTGGGGAAGCATTGCTTTCTATCTGGATGCAGAACAGCTCCGTGAAGTATAATTCCGCCCTCATGTTTCTGGCTTTGGGTGGGTGGGAAAGGTAGGGTTGTTTATGTCGTGGTGAATTATGTAAAAGTGATATTTTGGATAATGAAACATTTTTTTCTTTCCAGAAAAATGCAAGAAAAACTGCAGGCTAAGAGTTGAGGAATGTGATGGTCAGCAATGGGTAGGGGCTATTCAGAT